GATTATATTATATTAGTAAGATTTAATTAAAGTTAAGGTTTGCTACATTTTTTACCATCTTCTATAATAGTTAATTAAGCTTAACAAAGAAATATATTGATTAACTGAAAACACTAAGCTATTAGATAGATATGTGAGTTAGAGGAAACGAATGGTGAAAATGTCTACTTATATGAAATAATATGAGTTAAATAAATTAGCATCATCCGAACAGCAATGTCTTTTTTCGATTTTTTCTCAGTAATAAAGAAAGCAAAATCCAAAAATAAATTTTAAAATAGCAAAAAAGAGTTTATAATATATGATTTATAAGATAACATAAATAAAAATTTACGTAAATAATTTTATTCATATCACTAATATCAATTTCATATATGATTAATTATTATTTATTTCGATAAAATTACAAATTATTAGTTTTCATTAGCATTGATATAAATAATGATAAAATACTGATAAAAGGTGAAGAGAAAGAAAAAAGGAAAGAAATTAGAATGAAGGATAATTACTAATAGCTGTAACAAAAGAGAAGTGAAAGTGATAAATGATAAAATGATAAGAGATAAAAGTAATTAATCATCAGAAACATACATTAATTCCTATAATATCAATAATTTGAGACATATTATCAAATGAATATAATTAAATGGAAAGATAGCAGAAGAGAGAAGTTGTTAATTTTGATCGATGAATCAATTTGAATAGTACGAAATGATGGATCGATCATTTGACCTAAACATTTTCCCCGCCTTTTCCCTTTTCCACTCCCCGTCTCCTAATTCCCCGTTTATTTTAATTAGTCTTAACGATCATAAAACTAATCAATTCTTCCTTCCATACCTTTTCCTTCATATTGCCAAGGTCATTTTCATCTCTTTGATTTTATATTGTTCTTACTTTCCGTCCAAGTAAATTACATTTTACAAACTTTTCCTTTTTCTTTCTTTTTTTTTTTTCCAAAAACGATGATAACCAATTAGAAATACAGGTGTAATGCTTACACATCGATTGATATTGCTTACCTTAGATACCAGTAATAATAATAATAATTAGAACAAATATTAGAATAATAATTATTATTTGAATAGATACCCTTACATCATAATATTTTATTTATAGTTGATGACAGCCAACGTTATTAGAAAAAATAAGTATAATAATACTAATAATGATAAAACAATAATAAATAATAAAACAATAATAAACAATAAAACAATAATAAATTGACTTACACTGCTATTTAGTATTTTTTAATGTATTATTATTATTATGTTAAATGCTATTACATATTATTTCCACGATTTCTTCTCATTTTCACGATTTAAATTTCTTATCTTTTATTTTTCTTTTTTAAAAGTAATTTCGAAGACAGTGGAATGCAAAATATTTCTCAAGAAATCATTTATAAATCATTCGTTAATGGAAATTTTTAAAATAAAATAAGAAAAAGGAATTAACGAATATTATCTTTCTATCCTTGGACGATAAATTTTACCGTAGTGATGGGAATATGAAATTAAAAAATTATAAATTCTTATAATTCTTTCAAATGTTTCAAACAGGAATATATTATCATTTTTTCTAAATCATTTAAAAATCGATTCACTTTTAAATATTTTACAAATCTTTGATGCTATTCGTTAAAGTTCAAAATTTGCAAAATTTTCAAAAATTTTCATTTTATCATAAATTCATACATACTTTTTTTTTCAATCAACAAATAATAAAAATTGTAAACATTTCAAGTTTAGCATTTAAAAATCGATGAAATTTTTGGATGCTAAACTTACTAATCTGTTCGGTGTTAATGAATTTATCATTCATTTTTTGCTATTAATATAAAATTGCTATTTAATTATAAGGATGTTTAATTATGATAAATTCGAAATTTTTTGAATTTCAAAAAAAAACAACGCCAATTTATTGATTAAAAAATGAAAAAACGTTTTGAGTTTTTCATTGATGAATAAGATTTATATATTAGACTATGTCAAACTATATTTAATAAAAAATGATAAATTAAATTAAATCAAATTTGCTAGCATAATTTTTCTGTGCTATTAAATATTTTTCAGTTGTTTTAGATTACATAAGAAATCTTTTTTTTTTTCAAATTTCTATTAGCTTACTTTTGAATATCATATCAAAATTCTTAATGCTATCGTTTCATTTCTCTTTTTATTCACATTATTTCCATCCTCTCTTATCTTATCAATATATATGTATATTTTATTAAATTTAAATTTAATAAAATTTAAATTTATTCAAAAGCTTTTTATAATTTCAAACTATAAATGAAAATAAATATGATTTAATATTATGTCATAAATTTGTGAGAAAAAAATTGAAATGTAATTGTTAGAATTAATTGAAAATGGCAAATAATAGTAATAACGACATGAATATTGATAATAACAATAATAATAATGATAATAATTAATAATAATGATAGTAATAGTAATAATAATTTATAAAAGTTAAAAAATTTGAAAAAATATACCAAATATTCATTTGATTTTTCCGCAAATTATTATTACTTTAAGAAATTTCCCATTATTTAACCAATTATTTACGAAAATTTGCATTCCGTAAATTTTATAAATCCACAAAGCAAATTGTTTCAAATATACTTTTTTCATTGGCAGTTAAAAAGAATGGAAATGGAGAGAAAGAGAGAGAGAGAGGGAGAGACAGATAGACAGAGAATAATTGATAAAATTGTTCAAATTATTTCTTCCTCCTTTTTTTATAACAATATAAAGTTTAAATTTGCAAAAAATTGAATAACTTCGGGAATAACTTAATGTTTCTGAAAATTTATAAAATGTTTTTTAGACTATTTCCTTTTTTTTTTTTTTTTGAAAAAAAGAAGTTTTCATTCATTTACAATTTTTTTGTTTTACTTTTTTTCTTTATTAATTTTAATTTTAAATTACTCTGTTACACAACAAATAAAATATGTTATATGGAAAATTTGAACGGAAACGGAAAGTTTGAGATTAAAATTTATAATTTCATTTATTTAAAATAATGAAATGAGATAATATTGTTAACTCTTTTGTAACTTAAAAATTTCGTTGAAATTTAGAAATAATACAAAAATTTCACACAAAATATCGAATGTTAGCAGTAAAACAATAATTAATCAGACAAATTATTACGTTTGCAATGGAAGTATGAATTTGAAATGGAAGTCTGAAATGAAAAATGCAATTTTAAAATGAAATAAATTTTGAATTTAACATATTTGTTATTATTGATTGGATAATAAATGCAATAAGTGAAATTGGATTTTATATTTTCCAAATAACTTTAGAAATGAATTTTTAATTAGTATATAAGCAGTAATAATTATATAATATTATACTAATAGCATTAGTAATTAGTACTTTGAGTAGTTTTTTCTTGCTAATTAATTATAAACAGCAAATGAAAAAATGATTAAAAACAGTGCAATCAATAAATTCTTTTAATTAACAAATGATAAGGATGACTGATTGTTGGATAAAATACTATCAATAAATTATTTATTTGTAAAAATAAAAATTGAAATAAAAAAATAAATATTAAAAAGAAAAAAATTACCCATAATTAGTAAACTTTATAAAATATAAGTGACAAATTATTTATGCAATTCAAAAAAATCGGTTAATTATGATGCAAATTCAATTAAATTTGATCGAATAATTAAATTTAAATTCTTAATTGTTCAATGTTCAATAATTAATGGCGAATATAGCATTGAATCAAATAAATGAAATAGTAAATATTTTATAATTTTATCATTGCTAACAAAAAAATCAAAAATTTCCACTTTTTAGTAACACAAACAAGTTGGCTTAATTAATGCAAATTATTCAAATTATATGATTCAGAATTTTTAATTACACATAAATTAGAAAACAAAATAATCCCAACAGACTCATATTTATTTTTCATCGACCTTAGCATTTTTTTTTTTCATTGTTGAAATTTCGAATAATAAAATTTCGATTTGTAAAATGATAAGAAGGAATTAATTTTAATATTATGGAATATTTTTATTTTTAATATTGCAAATATTATATTAGAAATAAATATAAAAGTGATCAAGCATTTATTACGTGATAATAATATTAATCTATTTACAAATTAAATTAATACTGAAGTAGTGTTTACGACAAAATAGCAAGTTGGAGGATATGATAAATATTATCTTTTTTTAATTTGCAAAATCATGATTCTGATATTGATAACTAAATAAAAATTGAATAATTTAACAAATGTTTCCTCTCTTTTTTTCATTTTTACTAAACATTTTTACTTTAATTTATAACTGAAATGTTTATTTATAAATTAGTACTTATATTTTTATCATAGAAAGTTCATAATATTTTATTTCTTCCAGAGCATAGTGATATTTATCGTATATGAACAAGCTAGCACATATAATAGTTCTTTTGTTTTCAAAATCATGACTTCAGAATCATGATTTCAAAATCATGACTTCAAAATCATGATTTCAAAATCATAATTACGAAAAATAAATGAAAAATAAAGAAAATAAATTATTTAAAATAAATTTCACCAATACTTTTGTTTAATATCAGTAGATAAGCATGCAATCAATCAATGAAACATTACAGATTTACGACAATTCAAATGAAATGCATGATTACTTACCTGGTCTATGTTGAGTTGCTATATTTAATTCTTGAATTTAAATTAATTAGAAATTTTTCTTTCTTATTTGTTTATATTTAAACTTTAGCAGTTCTTTAAAAATTAATTTAAGACAAAAATTAAATGAAACTTTGTTAAAATTGTAAAAATTTAATTTGAGCAAAATTTGATGCAATAATTTAATTTTCATTAAAATTCTGTTAGAAATTTTTGAATAATTGTTCATATATTAATGAAAAATATTGGAATAAAAAATTTTTATGATAATGAAATTTGATAAGTTGGAGATTGAATATGTCGGTGATATGATATAGAATAAGGTATCATTATTTTATTTATTAAATTATTAAACTTTTTAAATTATCAAAAGCATGCATGCAAATTACACAATACCAACCATCTTCTTCGGTTTGTACTTGTTCCGGTTCACTTCCAATTCCGTAACCCATTTCAGTACCGGCTGCAACGCTTACTTCATATATTGAATACGGATTTAATCCTCTAATAATTGCGCTATTATCTAATGAAGCATCCTGAATCATTTCCAACCATCGTTTTTCTTTTTTTTCACCTTTTCCGGACAACAATTCTTCATCTTCTTCATCACTTTGCCATATTTTACCGTTTTCCGTTTCATTTTTTGCCAAAACCGGACGCCAACGGATCAGATAACTTCGTATTTTACCACTACGATAATCAAGCAATGGCGCTTTCCAACGAATAAATAAGGATTGTGATGAAAGCGCTCTTAGCACAATAATTTTTGGTGAAATTGTCGGAACTGTAACAAAAACAACAACAACAACAAATAACTCAACTACAACAATTTATTCAAAAGCACAAAATCACAATAATTTTTGAAATTTAAATTTTGTAATTAAAATTAGAAATGGAAATCTATAAAAATTTTAAAATAGAACAGATGATTGAACCAAACAAAAGCACAAATATTTTTACATACCAAATAAAGAAAATCAATGCATGCAAATATAAAATAAACAATATTACTTTTAAATTACACTTACTACTTAATGAGCGGTCATTTTTGGTTAGTTAATTGGCCACTTAATAGGTTATTAAATTTAAAAGTAAAATAATTTGTGAAATAGGTATCATTAAATGTGACAGTTTTGATTCATTTTTTGTTCATTGTGAATTTAAAAAAAAAGAATTAAAATAATTAATAAATAATAGAAAAATAAGTTACACTAATAATTAATTATTTTTTTTTTGAAATTTATTTTTCAAAAATTTAAAAAATTCGAAATTTCTTACCATTTGGATGTGTTTTTACAGTAATATCCGTACAAAATGCGCCAGTACCTCTTGCTGAACGAGCTGCTACCCTGTAATAATTCTAATTAAATATACGAATAATAATTAGAGTTAAATATATGGGTACGAAAAAATGCTGTCAAATTTGTAATATTTTAAAATATTCAAATTTAAATCAATTTTTAAATTTTTATGGAAAAAAGATTTTATTGTAAAGAAGAAGAAAATGATGAGAGAAATGAAGAATAGATTAGAAATTCATAAATACTAATTAATTCATTCATATCCAAATTAATATTCAATTCAAAAAATAATTAAATCTATTAAATTAACCAATTGTTGCTCATCAATCAAATTATTTCTCTTTCACAATTAATTCTTACGAACAAATTTATTTTGAATTGCATTTTAATTAACACATTTTATTCCATCAATTTGAAATCTTTCTAAATTAAATTAATTTTCACACTATTTCATTAAGTAATTAAGTTTTTGCTATTAAAACAAAATGAAAATAGCAAATAAACTCTCACATATATACACAAAAAAAAAAAAAAAAAATGTGCCTAACCGAAAAGAGTAAAAGGTATCCGGAATTAATCCATCGATGATATGTTTCTCTACCGGTATTGTAAGTGTTAATTCACGAGTGTTTCCGGTTGATGCATTAAAATGAATTGAATAACCGATAATATTATATGAATGTAACGGTTTATCCCATGTAAGTTGAATTCGATGTGAATCAAGAACTTTTGCTGTAAGACCTGCTGGTTGTCCCGGAACTGAAGAAAAAAGAGTGAAAGAATTAATTATTGAATTGATCAATTTAAAAGATTTAAAATTTTTTGAAAAGTAAAAACTATACTGATTAATCGTTACTGATTAATATTATATTAGTATTATTATTACTGGTTTTAATTAATACGAAAAATAAATCTAATAGAAAAAAGGAAACAAGAAAATAACACATAAAAAACGATTGAACAACATTTTTTCTACTAGCAAAAAATCCAAAATGAAACAAATTGGTAAAATGATAATACTAATTGGTAAAGAAACAAATCTATAAGCTCTATAAGTAATTAATTAATTAATTAAAATGATTTTATAGCGAGTAATTATGAAGAAAGTTAAACATATCTAATATGAATCAAACAGTGAGATGATGGTCTCAACGATATTAGTTTTTAAATTAAAATTAAAATTTCTTTTTTGAACTTTAATGCTATATCATTTTTTTTTTTTTGGAATTAAAATATGCTAAAGATTTTGAAACTAATATTATAAGCTATTTAAATTAAAAAAAACAAGTGAAATTTAATATTCTGATCATTGGTCATTGATAACTTGTTAATAAGATTAAATTATTATTAAATAAAAAAAAGGATAAATTGGTAATCCTAAATTTTGAATTTGAAATAAAAGAAAATATTTAATTAGAACGACAAAAAAAAAAATGTGTCACTTACTTCCTTGTCGCGTGAAAACCGTCGCACGTGATGACATTGGACTTAATCCTTTAGCATTTCTTGCTTGCACATGCAGATAATAAATACTTTCAGATTCTAAATTTGCTATTGTTGCAATTAACTCATCCGATTTAGTTTCTTGCTAAAAGATAAATAATAATAATTTTTGTATTTTTGTAACTATTTTTTATTAACCATTGATTTAAATTTAGATTTGAATTAAATTTTTAATCAAAAAACGTTTATTCCAACTTATTCAACTATTGAATTTCCAGCTATTTTTAACTAATTATTAATTTGAGCATCTAATAATCAAAAAGAAAAACAAATTTTTTTTTTCCAAATTATTTCAAATTATTCAAGTTGACACAATGACAAGCAAAATGCTTGTTTAATTAACAAAAATACAATGTTTCAATTTAAATTTTAATCAAAATTTACACTATTCCACAAATTGTACGGTGTCGTTGGTTCCAAATTGGTGTAATGAATGATATAACCCTAAAAAAATTGAAAATATAAATTTGATTTTTACGATGCATTAATCAATGAAAACAAAATTTTCGAAAAAAATAGAAAACAAATTTATTTCATCTACGATATATTTGCAATTGCACAAAAAAAAAAAAAAAAAGAAATTCAATGATTTAAAAAATAATTTTTGCCAATTTTTACCGTAATTTGTCCATTTGGTTTTTTTGGTGGTTCCCAACGAACTAAAATAGAACTTCGGCTTAATGCTCGTGCTTGTACTTTTTGTGGTGGACTATTCGGCGCTGTTTCATCCGTTTGCACCTCTTTTGGCAGACTTGCAGTACCACGGCCAATTAAATTAACCGATGACACTGTGATTTCATATAACTAAAAGAAAAAATAAAAAATTTTTAATTAAAAATATATTTTTGTTTTTATTTCATAAATAATTTAATAGAATAGTAATAGGAAAATGCATTAAATGGTAAAATTTCTTATAAAAATTATTTTTACTTTTTATTAATTTTTTGCAGCAAAAAAAAAAATATTAGAAATTTTTGCTAACAATTATTGAATTTGTTGTACTTTCATTGTAAAAATCTTTTGACTATAAAAAAGTATTCAAAAAAGTAGCATAAAAGTATTAAATTTAAATTTGTTTTTTTCTTAACTTTCATACAAAATTAAATTTTACATGCATACAGCATCAAAAATAATAGTAATGGCACGTACATAAAATAAGTTTAACTTAAAATTATTTAATTAAATTATTTAAATTATAAAAAATTATTTAAACCTTAACAATTTATCTAATTGATATCGCTTTTTATTTATTCATTTTTTTAAATGATTTTCGAACAAACCTGATAAGGTTCCAATTCAGTGATAACAGTGGTAGTGACATTTGCGCTTACTTCTTTCTGCTTAAATAATTCCTCATCATATCTGAAATGTTATTAAAAAAATATTATAAAGATATGTTAGAGAAAAAACCTACAGCTAAATTTTAGTTACTGCTAAATTACCGAAATATTTTTGTTAAAAAATTTTATAACAAATTAGAAATTAAATATTTAAGTATTTTTGTTATACGTATGTTTGTTTACCACCCACTTAGCCAATTGTTTATTTTGAAAATTAAAATTTTTTAAGAAATTCCGAGAAGTATAATAAACAAGTATATATAAATTATTTAGATTGTATGCAAAATAATCAATCATTTTTTATTATCGTTGCTAAAAACTTAAAATAAATTATTAGCTAATCTAATACCAATCCACTTAGTAATCAATAAAAATTATTATTCTTTAACATTCGAATGATAAAATAATTTTTTTTCGTAATAATACGATCTTTCAATAAGTATTTTTAAGTAATTTTTTTAAAGATATGATAACATTTTTTTGGATAGGAATGAAATTAATTGAAATTCAAGTTTTTTTTTTTTTTTTAATTTTTCATTTATTTGTTTAGTTTTTGATAGGTTTCACAAGCAATTATCATTGTCATTCAAAGTTATCACTGAGCTGAATAACTGATTATGGATAATATGAATATTAATTAATTATTAGCAACAGAAAATTAATAATGTGACTACAATGGTCATTGATAATTAATTAAATTATCATTAATTAACCAATACTATCTAATAATATTTCAGTTATTGCAAATAATTGAAATATCAATTCAAATTTTTAATAACTTACTCGATATCATTAGTTGGAAATATTGGTGTTGATAAGTTAGCAACATTCCTTCAAAAAAAACCACAACAAGTGAGTAAACATGCATGTTAGAAAATAATCATAAATTATAATCAATTACTTACATTCGAAAACAAAAAACTGATAATGTAACTATACAAATAATCAAAAAAAATAATAATTAAAAATGTGAAGATAAATTTTACTGTTTAATTTTTACTTCAATCAATAATCAATGAAAATTTTCCGATTAAATATTTATAAATAAAAAGGAAAAGTCGAAAGAAATAAAAATGAACGAAATATATAAAAGAAAAAAAGAAGAAAAGTTAACAAATGGATGAAATTTGAAATATATTCAAATTGAACAATTTCAACAATTAATTTTATTCCATTTTCATAACTGACATTCGAGAATTTCCAGCTTAGTAATATATTTATTTGCTTCAAATTTTTATCAAAAAAAAAATCGATTGCATGCTAAAATTAAAGCTTAAGCGTCTTAAAGAAAAAAAAGATGGTGCTAATTTTTTATTTTTAATTTTAGCTGCATGCATTTTGTTTATTAATACACTGCAAATCTGATTAGAAATGCAAGTACACTCGGATTAACTTTTGATAGTAATTTTAGAAATCTTACTTTTGGCGATATCTGATGATATATTTGAGAACCGGTTCCATCTCGATGTATACCGGATCCCAACTTATACGAACACTATTAGATGTCACATCAAACACTTGCAAATTCTTTGGTGCACGAGGTAGTGCTATAAAAGACATAATTTATACTTAAATTTTAATTAAATTTAAAACTTACTACAAGAATTATAATTTAAATTTTAAATAATTCGTATTTCTTAATAAGTAAATTAAAATTATTATCTGTCATAGATATTAGAAAAAAAGGAAAAAATGATTGGTTTATCATTTTAGATAATTATAACATTAGTAAATGATCAATGGATTCATTTAAAAAAAAATTTGATTGATTAAGTCCTATTGTATTAAACATTTAAATTTTAGACGGTAAACAATTATTAATACAATAAATCTATCAATATTAAAGTAAATTAAATTCATATTATCAAAATTACTTACATTTTACTTCGACAGTTGTCATTACTTCGATATTACCAAGTTTACTAACTGCAACGCATGTGTAATTCTCAGTTTTCTCAATTTTTGTCAACGTTAACACATTGCGACCTAAACACAATTTTTTTTTTTTAATATTTTTAATAAAAAATTAAAATTTGCATTTTTAATGAAAATAAATATTCTTTTTTAGCTTTTTTTTTTTTTTTTTGAATAAAACTTATGAAATAAAATTTCTGATAGATTTTTGAAATTAAAATAATTTTTATGTGCAATCCTTTTAAGCAAAAATAAATTTTATATGCAAATAATCAAAAAAAAAAAGAGTTATTTTATTTTTTAACACTGCTTACAAAATTTTAAAATTAGCAAATTTAAGGAATGAAATAAAAAGTAATAATGATAATAACAATGTTGCTCTACTTTTCCTCTAATATTAATTATTAACAAAAAATACGAACAAGTTTTATTGTCTTTTTTTTTTATTAAAGTTTCTTCTAAATTTTATTTTTAAAAAAAGAAAAACCAATTGGTGCAGATTGTGGATCGTTAAGATATGTGTCATCGGATTTTTTCCAGAATACCCGCGGCATTGGATATCCCACAGCAACGCAAGTTAAATTAAGCGCTCCACCTGGTGCAGTTTTATATAAGCGCTCAAGTTTATACGAAAAGTACGGCGGAACTCGTCGAACTATAAATTAAGGAATGGAAGAGATAAAAGCTATTAAAAAGAAATGAAATCAGAAAATGAATAAAATTAGAAATAATTAATAAAAATTAATTATATCAATGAATGCAAACATTTCCAAAAAAATTTTATTGAGAAAATTAATTAAAACAAAAATTAAAAATTTTTAAATGACAAATTTGTAATGAATTATTTTTTATATGCTAAATTGTTATTAAATAAATTATGCAAAAATTCCTTTAGTTTTTTTTTCCACTTAAATATTACATTATTAAATTAACACAAAGTAATTAAAAAAGGAAAAGAAATGAAAAATTAAGTAAAATTATTTATTAATGTAATCATATTATTACTGAGTTAATTAATTACTGGTTGAAATAAAAGTAAAAAAAAAGAAAAAATAAAATTTTGCAGTATCTCATTTATTTTACCGTTTATTCCTTCCTCTCTCTCTCTCTCTCTCTCTCTCTCCCTTTTTACACTCTCCTTTTTTGCTAATTCCTTTGTTAAATTTTCTTAAAATTTAAATTTGCCATTAAAATTTTAATTTTTCATTAATAAATATACCAAACCTTTAACATATAAATGAGCAGCTTTAGAATGTGTGACACCGTGAATATTCCTTGCGACACATTCATATTTGCCTTGATCATCCTCTTTTGCTTGTTGTATCATTAATGCACCTAAATTTTAAATTTCATTTTCTTTTTTTTTTTTTTTTTTTGTTTTTAATTTTTAAATTAACAAATAAAAATGCAGAAAGAGAGAAAAAAAAAGAAAAGAAAAGAAGTAAGCATGCTTTCTGGTGTTTTATATACATATATATGCAGTGATTATATAAAATATTAAATAAATATTTGTTTTTATTGTGTAATGTATTGTGATAAAAAAATAAATAAAAATTGAAAAAAAAAAACTAAAAATTATATATAAACAATAAACAAACGAAAAAAATTGAGTGAAAAATTTTATAAAAATAGCAATTAAAGATTAAAAAAAAAGTTAAATTTTTTCTTTTACTAAATTTTTTACTCTAATTTTTTTCTAATTTTATTAAATTTTACTTTAACAAATATTATAAACACTTTCATTTTGCTTTCAGTTATCCTCTCAATTTAATTTCAAATTTATAAAAGAAATGGTGAAAACATTTTATTAGTTCAAAATTTACCAATAAAAAATCATTTTTTTAATGGGTAAATTTTTTTTGAATAATTCGTAAGATAATTATTAATTGAAAGTGTGATGGGAAAAAATAAATGAATGAACGATTTAGTAAAAGAAAAAAAAAAACTAAAAAACTAAAAATGATAGTATTTCCTTTCATTTACTTTTTGTTTAGTAATTAATTAATTAATTATTGTTTTAAAAAGTTTTTTTTTTAAATTTTGGAAAAGAGTGCATAGACAGATTAACAACAATTTTTTGTTGCATAGAAAAAAGAAAGAAAGAAAGAAAAAAAAATGAAAGCCAAATTTGTGTGCAAAATGAAAAAAAATTAAAAATTGAAACAAATAATTAATAAAATTATCATATTTGTGCCAAAAAAAATTAATCTTTTCTTATTTAAAAATAAATAAATTTAAATTATTCCATTTAATTACTGAATAAATAACTAATTTATTAATAATAAACATAGTTGCAAATATTAAATTAAAAAATTTTTAAATTTTATAAACAAAATATAAAAATTAATTATGGTTTAATGTAAACAAATAAATATAGTGCAATTTAATTTAATTAAGTGTATGCAAAAAATTTCAAAACATTATGAATATTTCTTTATGCACTAACATTTTCAACCTTTTTTTTTTTTTTTTTGAGCAAAATATAATATATGGCTAAATCTTACCAATTGCTTTCAATCGAAAACCTAAAATTCAAAATTTCATTCTTTTTTTGTTTTCTTTAAAAAAAAAGAAAGGAAATTAAAAAACTCATTCAATATCGAAAATAACTTTCATTTCTGTATTAAGCAAGAAATTCAATATAATAAATATATGTAAGGAAAGAATAATTTTATTGTTATTAATAAACGATAAAAATTTTATGTAACAAAATATAATTTTTATAATTATTTAATGTATGTGTATATTATATATTTAAATTTAAATAATAACATCACATATATTTATTTTATCAATTTCTTATGCATATTTATTATCTTTTCATATTTTATTTGTATATATTTATTAATTTTACAATTGCTAAATACATTTATAAATTAGAAAACATATAAAAAATTTTTCATATAGAGAGAAAATCAATTTTTTGTACATATTTTCGAATTATTTATGAATATAATATTTATTAAATGTTGCTAATCCATAAAAGTATATAAATAAATATCACATATATGCATACAAAAAACAAACAAGCAAGCAAATAAATAAATAAAATATATACATAAATTCGTTTTCTATAGCAAATTAAAAGCTTAATTTAATTTATGCATATGTTATGGAATGAGAATTAAACTAAAGAGAAGAAAAGGAGAAGCGATTTGTTATTGCGGTGAAATATAAAAATAAAATACGATGAAAAATTTTGAAATGAGACAAAAATTATTGTTAGAAGAATAATCGTTTAGCAATACTAAAATTTAATTTAAATCAATTACTAATTAAATAGTTCACATCACTAAAAGGAATTAGAAAAAAGAAAGAGTACCTGGATTACCAAGAGTGGAAACGGAGTATCGTGTATTAGATCGAATATCAACAGGCATTAAATCTCGAAGCCATAACACCTTTGGACGAGGATCACCACGTACCCTACATGAGACGTGTGCTGTACGACCTTGTTCAACTGATTTTAACACTGGATGTGCTTCAATTACCGGAAATCCGGTTGGTAATTTATCTAAAATACAAGCAATTTGCAATAAATTTAATTATTATCATTTCAAATAATTAATTTATACTTTTCAAAATTATTTTAGAGAAAAAAACAGACTACTGTTTTAAAATTTACCAGGTGATAGGACGGTAAGTATAGCATCAGCAATAACCGGATTACCAATTCCGTTATCTGCCGTACAGCTTATTGTTGAATTTGCATCAGTTAACCTAACCGGTTCAATTCGCAATGTGCTCAATCCGTTTGAAAGAGTTTTTGTTGAAAACCTAATATTAGTAATTAAATGAAAGATTAAAATAATACTAATTTAGAAACTAATTAATAGCAAAGTTATTTTAATAATTGGAATTGAATTATTACAGTAATGTAATTATTCTGAACATAACAATAGCAAAGTGTGAACATATTATGAATAATTATCGTTAATAACTAGTAGTTGCGGTCATAACAAAGCATAATTCATTATGACTACAAATAAATCAAGATTATTTTTATATATTATTATTATTATCACTCACACTTCCATTATTATTGTCATAGTTTGCTTAAATTTTAGCATTACTTTTGTTTTTTCTTAATAATTCACTCGCCTCCCCAATTTAAGTTAAATATATATTATTTGTACTTAAGTTAAATATATATTATATTAATCTATTCAATATTATTATCACAATTTATGACAATCGTAGTTCTATCCCTTATTATTAATGTTTGTATTTGCAATTCTATTCATTATTATTACTATTATTATTTCTTTTGCACTAATTCTATATATTGTCACTATTATTGTTATTTATGTTATTATTCGTTTTATTATTGTTATTATCATTATAATTATTATTAATTACTGCTAAAATTACTATTGTCGTTGTTTATGTTTATTTTTAAGCTCATTCTTTTGCATTTGCATTTGGAAAAGTAATTTTTTTCATAATTGTATTAAATAAATCCAAATACTACCTTAAATCAGAAATTGATAAACCATTTTTTTTCCATTCAATTGTAGGTAATGGATTGCCATCGGCACGGCAAAAGAAGCTAACCCTTGTATCTGCCACAACTGTCGATGATTCGGGTCGAATTATCAATTTAGCACTATCTGTAATCAAATAATAATATTATGCTTTAGTGAGATGAAAAAAAAAAATTGAATTTAAAAATTTAAAATTTTGTTTGCTATTTGAAGAATATAGCCTGCTTAATTTATTATATTATTTAACCTCATCAGATTTCAGAAATATTGATGAGAAACGATTGTACACATAATTTTGACATCTTATATTTATTATAAAATTTTATTAAATTTAAATTTTTCAAACTTACACGCCAGAGCTTGAATGTAACTCTGATATTCCCAGTCTGGAAGCAGCAAAAAGAAAAAGTAAAAAGACAGTTTGGAAATTTTTTTTGAGATGAAAATATTGATAGATTAGAAATTTTCGTTTTTATTTTTTTTTTCTGTAATACCAAAATAAAATAAAATTGATTCAGAATAATACAGATTATTCTGATGAATAATTTAGCAAAATACAGAAGTTGTTGCATTGAAATTGAATTGAATATCGAAATATCGAATTGAACTGGATTGAATTGTGTTCCCATTTTTCCGGATATTTCCGGATTTGTTTTGTTTTTTTTTTCTTTTACTTTTTATTGCGTACAACTTATCAATTTAATAATTTATTGAGGAAAGAAGAATAAAAATGAGGAAAAAATATGAGAAAGATTCTTACCATCATATGCAGATTTGACGAAAGTAAAAAAGGATAGAAGAAAGATGAAATTTGAGCAGAATAATTTTGTTGTATTCAAGATGGTCCATTGTTTTAACATTGGACCGATTGCTTTTCTTCGTTTCATAATAATTGAATTGCTTCTTCCTTGTATTCCCAATTTTTGATGTCACTTATTGTCATCATTAATTGCTATGACAATAACAATAATCTTATTGTTCTTGATAGCATAACTATTATCAGTAATTTTGATATCATTTCTGTTTATGTGATAGCATTTCGTTGTAACCAACGATGGTTATCTTTCTTTTATTCCAATTGTCTTTTTTATCCACCAATTATTTGCTAAATATAATCAAATTAAACATTTTTTTCTTTTTGTTTAATTTTTTTTATATTATTTTTATTTGTTTACCTCTTTTTTTTTGAAAAAAATAAGAATTAAATACTGCAAATAGTTAATATTTTTTAATTGTTTAAAAAAAAAAAAACTCTTTTTTGAAAAATTTAATTCTTTTTCTCTCTTTTTTTTGTTTTTAGAAAAAAAGAAAGTGACAATGATTATATTTTGAAAATTTATATAATTTAATAAAAGAGGGAAAAAAATTTCTTCTGCAAAAAAAAAAAATATTTGAAGGCATTTTTAAAGAAACAAATTGCTTCCTGCACTTTTCTTTTTTTCTTTTACCCTTTCTTTCTTGCTTATTCCACTTGTTAGAATATTTTTTTTTTTTTAAAAAAAAAGATGGAAAACTATTGATTTTACTTTTAAGTACATATTTTAAGGTCATTTATCAAAGGGAAATATCTCATTGAAGCAAAAAAGAAAAAAAAAAAAGCAATGGAAAATGAACGAGTAAGTAAGTTTGTTATAATGTCAAGAAATTATAATCATTTTTTTTTTATGATCATAAATTTTTCAAATCTTTTAACAATAATTTTAATGCTTATTGTGAGAAAAGAAGGATATTTTGATGAGACGAATTTTTTTTTCCAAAAAGTTAATTTTTTAGAAATTTTTTAGAAAAATTTCAAAAATAACTTTTTTTTATTATTAAATAAAAAAAAAGAATTTCATTACAAGAAGAAAGTGAATAAATTAGACAAAAGAAATATGAAAGATAGAGATAATTCTACAATGATGAAAAAAAAACAATTATATGGAAGGAATGAATAATAATAAATTGTAAAATATTATTAGTAATATATATGTTTCGATAAATAAACCAACCTGAAATATGTGTAATGGATTATTCATATTGTAATACTTTAAGTTTTACATTACAAATTTATCCATTACATGTAAGAGATACATTTATAAAAGTTTATTTGCGATTTGAAAATGATACGTTTATAAATTTATCGGCGATTTGTAAAAGATACGTTTGTAGAGATTTAACGTGTGAAAGATACGTCATACGTGTAAAAGATACGTTTGTAGAGATTTTTCTTAGAACGTGTAAAGATACGTCATACGTGTAAAAGATACGTTTGTAGAGATTTCTCTTAGAACGTGTAAAAGATACGTCATACGTGTAAAAGATACGTTTGTAGAGATTTCTCTTAGAACGTGTAAAAGATACGTCATACGTGTAAAAGATACGTCATACGTGTAAAAGATACGTTTGTAGAGATTTCTCTGAGAACGTGTAAAAGATACGTCATACGTGTAAAAGATACGTTTGTAGAGATTTCTCTTAGAACGTGTAAAAGATACGTCATACGTGTAAAAAATACGTCAGTAATGTGTAAAAGATCCATCTATAAAAGTGTGGAAAGAAGTAAATATTACATATTAGTGAAAGAAATTTAAAAATAAAAATGTTAAATTGGAGAAATGTAAATTAGTTAAATTGGAAAAGTAACAAGTAGAAATAGTATAGGTTAATAATCAATTAAGAACGAATTACAAATTAATTATAATTAATTTACAGTTTGAAACCATTTAATCATAATTATTCGATTATTATTATTTTTTTTTTTTTTGTGTCAAAAAGTTTCAAAAGTGAAGGAAATATTATCGATCAGAATGAAAATATTTTATGATTTTATCATTCTTTCATTCCATTACAAAATAAATTCGTACAAATATTTATTCCATTACTTATTACTGTGTAATATCGAAAGTGAAAAAATGAAAGAAAAGAAGAAATTTATTTATTTTTTACTTTTTTTCTAAATTACCTTAACTATATATTTTCTCAATCAAAAAAAGAAAAACGAATAAGTGGTCAATGACTTTTTGTCACTTTCTTTCATTTATAGTTATTAATTTCAATGCAATTTTTTTTTTTTTTTTGAATAAAGTTAATCTTTAAAAGTAAAATTTGCACACAAAAATAATCAATTGCTTATTCAAAAAAAAAAAAACGAAAATAAAAATTAAAAAAAGAAAACGAATGAAATTTTGCTAAAATCCAAGCGATCGATAGACGAAGATTAATATTGCTATTATTATTATTATTATTATTATTATTATTATTATTATTATTATTATTATTATTATTATCATTATGCAATTACTTATTTACAGAATTTTACTTAACAATGTATCAATAGCAAAAGCAATTATTGCTCATTGCAGCATTTATTATTATTACTCTATCATAGTAACTAGATATGCAGCACCACCTGCTATAAAGTTATTGTTGTGAAATATTTTCTAGTAAATTTGATTTAAAGAAATTATTTATAGAATAAATAAATAATTTCATAGTGCTATAAAATATGATTCATTGTATTGAAAACAATATATTATGCATGAAAAATTTTTACTTTCATTAAAAAAAGAAATCATAATTTATGGTTTGTTATTCATTTAATTTAAAAAAAAAAGAATCATAAAAGTTCAAATTGAAAGAATGAAAAAAATACATTGAATATAAATCATAGATTAAATTTAAATTGTATAAGTGCCATAACAAATAGATAGTAAAAATTTTTGAAAATTTTCTTTTTTAATTTGTTTGTTTTTTCTTTCATTCATTTCATTTACATCTTTTTATTGATTTAAAATACAAATGTATATTACAATTCAAAATTGAAAATTTATATTAAATAATTTGAAATAAATGATTGAAAATATTAAGAAAGCATAAGTCAATGATTGGATAAAATAAATAACTTTAAAAAAAAAAATAATAATAATTGTAGCAGTTAAGCTAAATGAGGAGATATTTCGAATCGACGATTAAATTAAACGAAGATTGAAAAGTGTGAGGGAGTGAATAAACAATTCGATATGCTCGCATATCCCATAAAATGGTAAGCAGAAATCGGACTTTTCCGCTTCAGCTGATCAAAATATGAATGCTTTTTACATCGTATGACATTATCGTTTTGCTATAATTTGTTTAAAAAAAAAAAAAAAAAAAAATTAGAGAAAAACTGAAAAAAAAAATAAATTTTGAGAAAATTTTTCTTTCGAAAACTTAAAAATTGTAACTTTTTTAAAATATTAATTATGCAGATTTCTTAAAATAATTTTTTCTTTTTTTTCATTTGCAATAATTTGAAATGTTAGTGTGAAACAATCATTTCATTTCTAAACTTTTTTATTTCGTTTTTATTTTTTATTTTTTTCATTTTAAATTAAAAAAATAGTCTGATAGGAAATTATTTTTTTATGCAGTAAAATTTGTTATGAAGTAATTTGGAAGAAATAATTTTATTTAACTAACAAATCAAACAATAAATTAATTAATGGGAAATCAATTTATTGTTTAAGACTATTCATAAACAAAATGAGAATATCACAAAGAAAATGCTTAATATATTCAATTTTTTTTTTTTTTAAAATGCTATGACAGAGTGATCAATTTTTCCGCCTTACTTAATTCTTTGATTTTTCTGATCTTTTCATAAGCTTTAATTACTTATTGCCATAATTAATTGCTATAGGATTGAGAAAAAAATCCAATGATAAAAGATTACTTTAAAAATAGTTATTATCAGATAAATTATCTACGAATGTAATTTAATGAAGACGAAATAATATCAAAATTTACTTGGAATATTGACAAAAGCCAAAATGATTTATTCAATTAATATTTAATTTTAAATGCCAGAAGTTAAATAGGTAGGAAATTATGCCATTTATTTTCAATTTTTTAATTTAGTTTAATTGCTCCCTTATTTCTCTCTGTAGGTACCGAAATTAATAACATGAAAAAGGCAAAAGTAATGAATGGAAATTAATAATCACTAAATTAATAGCAAAGTTATCAACTGCAAAGTTAACAATTAATAATAATTAATTAATTAATAATTAGCAAATGCAACATTAAGAATCACATGCTTAAAACAAATACACTGCAAAAAATAAACAGCTAAACGTTAACAAAACTAATTATTTCATTGATTATTTTACATTTGACTTTATGAATTTTAAAATTTTGAATTTCAAATTATTTCGATTTTCAATAAATTAAAACTGATTTTGATAGTTCGAAAAAAAACGTTGACTGATTGATTGGAAGTAAAATCAATGAACAAATATGGTTGGAATAAATTTAATTCAATGATTCAATTAAATTATTCATACTTTAACATGCAACTTTTATGGTATATTAATGCATTTTCTATTTTTTTTAATGTAAGTAACTTATATATATTTCATAGCTATAATACACTTTTATAAAATTTATTAAAATTCACTTTGGTACATTGCAACCTAAATTAAATTTCTAAATATTTCAAAATTTAATTCATTAAAAAATAATAAACGATATGGTGAAATATTTGCATCTTTCAGTGAAACTTTAAATGATTTTAAATAATTTTAATTAATCAGACTTACGTTTAACAAAATGATAAAATAATAGCTAAATGATTTTAAAATTTGGTTTCTCTTTTCAATTCAATAATATTGCATTAATATTAAAAGATTTAAAATTAATGCATAAAATGAATAGATGATGTGATAAATAATAACTTAACAATTAATTTATAATAAAGTTTCTTATGTATCATTTCTTAATTTCAACTTTTTAAATCTTAACTAAATAATTTATTCAACAATCTTTTTCTCTTATTTTATTAAATGTACTTTATTTTTTTCACATTTGTTTCGAAATAAGTTTATTTTTGAAATAAATTAATTTTCTGTTCACTCATTTTTTCTGCTGA